CAATTCTGGTCTCGGGACAGAACGGAGCGCGGCGGCTTGCTCTCGCTCCGCCCCTTACGGTAAACCCGAAACACACTTTTGGACCGCTTGGGGGGTGTCATCTGACCCGGAGGGGAGAATGGCAATTACCCTCCTTAGCAAGGGTATAAACTCCATCACCGTGGTAATATGTCTCATAGCAACTGTAGTACTCTTACTTGTCCCAGAATCTTTGTGTATTTGTGAAGTGGTGGCACACGCCTGTAATACAAGAACTCTGAGAGGCTGAGGCAGGAAAATCGCAAATGCAAGCCTACACTGGGCAATTTAGCAAGACACTGTCTCAAAAAGTAAAATTAAAGGATAGATGTGTGGCTCAGTGCAAAGGTCCTAAGTTCCAAGCACAGGAATCAAAAGGAGAGAAGGAAAAAGTCTGCAAATGCCCTGTGACATTGGATACGTCTTCGTGCACAAAGGGCAGTAACATATCTCCTGAGTGAGGTCATAACACATCCAAATCATGCCTCAAGGTCTTCCTCTAGCAGAATGGTGACAGGGACCCCAATTTCTAGACCACAAATTACCCATGTTGCCTGAGACCCTGGGATACTAGGGGGTGACACACTCCCCACAACGAGGGTGCTGCACTCCAACATGGTGTGCATAGGTGCTTTCTACACCAAAATGGTGACAGAACCCCACTGTGGGCTTACCCAGCAAGTTCTCAGGCAAAGGATAAGATCACCCCGTATCCTGACGCCTTTGCTCAGGATTCTCCCTGGTGAAGCTGCCACATCCCACAGGGATCCCTGGGACCTCTGTGTGGACAAGATGGCAGTTTCACAGAGTAGCCACAAGTAGCTCATACTGCAACCTGGGCTCTCAAAATCAGGTGTGTACTGATAACAAAAACTTTTTTGTTTTGTTTTGGAGACAGCATCCAGCTATGTAGTCCACTCTAGCCTTGAACTCGAAGCACTCCTCCTGCCTCAGCCTCCCCCCTGCTGGGATTACAGACGGGTGCCACCACGCCCCCCCTCAAGTGTACCTGCTTTTGACTACACCACATCCCATGAAGTCAGCGGTTGAATTTTCACAAGTGGCAATCATGTCAGAGTTCAAAAAGTATAGCTCAGTGGTAAAGCACTGGTCTAGCATGCAGGAGGTTCTGGGTTCCATTCCCAGCACCAAAAAGAAAAAGTTTCTAATTTGGAGCATATTGATTTCTGAGCTGCTCGTCTGTACTAGGATTGAGGACTCTACATCTGGTACAGGACATTTCTATGCCTGAGACATCCAGAGCCCTAAAACTGTCTGCACCCAGTGGCACAGCCCAGGAACTGTGATGACAGCTAAGGCCCAGCAATCCCATCCCTTCGGGGTCTCCTTGGGCCCCTCCCCCCACCACAGTCCCAACCTGAAGACACTCACCTCCCACCTGCTCTCCCAGCTCCTCCCGCCAGGTTTCCACGGTGAGGGAGAAGGTGCCCTGGTGGAGTGGAGAAGGGGGAAGAGGGAATGGAAGACGGTGGTGAGGGCAAATGCTCCATGAAAACCATCAGGGAGATGGACAGCCCAATCTGGGGACTGAGCAGGTGAAGGACAATTGCCGGGGTGGGGGTGGCCCAGGGAAAGAATAAATCCTTGGCTTTCCTTGACAGGCGCTATGTGGTAAGCACTTCAAGACAATGGGGTTGGCATAAGGTACCGGGATAGTTCCATTTCACAGCTGAGGAAACACAGGTTGGAAAAATGAAGTCACCTGCCCTTAAGACAAGGGCCTAGAGTTCAAATTCTGCCCTGTTCACCTCTGTGCTTTTGGGGTTGTGGGGATGGGAGAGAGGATTTGGAAGGTAATGCTGGAGCTGAATAGAGACAAGAAGGAGATCGAGATTTGGGTGGCAGGGTTAGGCGCCAAGCACACGGGATGCCCCAGGCCTGGGCTCACCGGCCAGGCGTCCCGGAAGGGCACGCGCATGAGGCGGTCGGGCAGCGG